ACACGTAGACATCCACAACAGAGCGTTCTTATTTTGAATGAAGGACAATACAGATGAGGGAATATATTACAAGAGCAAAGCTCTTAAACTTGCCCATCCAAAAATGTTTCTTATATTTTTTTTTTTTTTTTCTTCACCGACTTGGTGTAATTTTATAATAGAGTTAAGATTGTTTATTCTTGTACAAGTTTCATCAAGCTTCCGTTGGTTGCAAGGACTAAAGTGGATGTGCCTACTATAACAACAGCGAAACTCAACATACTCAGGCAATGTGAAAGCCATATAAAATTATTACATTCTAGCCGCATATCATAATTGCATGAGTCACATCCCTCTCCTCACACTACCCCAATAAGAATCCCAAGTCATGCTGCAATGTTTTTCCTATATTGCATTTTCTAACACTTATGCTCCCGACAAAGCTCCACAACTTTGACCGCTATGCCCCCAAAACATCTCTCTAACAAATCATCCACCCGCAACACATCTGCCTTTATTACACTCACATATAAACTTATAACCCCAGCACACATCTTCAACGTCATCGACAGTTAAAAAGCTCTCTTATTTTCGATGCTCGCACTCTCTTCTGAAACACTTGATTGTTCTCGTAGCTCTTTCCCCTATTCTGAAGCTCATGATCTCCCTCATAACTTAATCCTTATGCCCCCCTTCCAAGAGCTCTAGCCTCACACCATGGAAACTTACATAGCTCCCCACCCCACTAAGAAATCCAGCACCAATGACTTCCTCTTACCCTCTGTAGAGCTTATTTCAATGAGCCTGACGATGCAATACCCAACAAACACATGCCTTACGACTTCATTGTGCACAAGCAGGGGAATAATTTTCAATCTTCTCAACCTCAACAAGTCTGTGGTGCAAAATGCAGCCGATGATCTTTGATCCAGTCAATTTGAAAAATGTGTCGCTAATCTTCAATTCAGCAGAATTTTGAAGACTTCTGTGATAATAATCTTCGATCCAAATGAAGCTTAAAGACCTTTTATCATTGATCTTTAATCATGTCTCCCTTTGTTTTATCTCCAAAATACTTTCAAGTATATAAAAGTTCTCCAAGGTCAGATACTTGACAAAAACCTAGTGGTAGCATCATTGTCGTCAAATGGCAGTAATATGGACATCATGTAGCTTCAACATTATCTTCATACCAAAGACCTTTCGGTAAATGGGGCATTATCATCAGTGTTGAAACTACATAAGGATGGAAATATGCCGTTGGAATGCTTTTGGCCATACAAATATTGGGATCAAAACAAGAAATAAGAAAATGCATATAGATTTTAAGATTCACTATCATGTTCAAGGCATGGTAAAATTTATATTAGCTTAACTATATTTTCAAACAAATTATCAAAGCATTTTATATATATATTCACTCTAAAACATAAGCCGAAGCATCGAGGTGATTTCAAAGATAATTGTGGACCAAGAGAATTCTTATTAACCTTACTAATGTTTACAACTAACATAAACATCAATTATGAGTTAGCATATTGATATTCATATTAGCATATTACAAAGCATGTGTCATAAGATACTTATGAAGTAAAAAATTCTTAGAGCAACCAGCATATCATGATATGATATATGAGCAATAATAATTTGAATACTACCAAAAAAAAAATGCCAGTATATTGAAAGATGTGTCAGTTCATCAAAAGGAGTGTCAAGGCATAATTAATGAAATATATGTTCAAATGACAAGATAATTGCTATGGACCGTCTTGTATGATTACAAATGGCTCACAAGTGGATAGGCAATTCAAAAGATCATGAAAACCCACCATTTTCAAAATCATAACACCTACCTAATTTATCAAACATATAGGCCCAGATCCAGGATATGATTTAATTGCTTCCTTTTCTATGATTATAAATGGCTCGTGTATGAATATGAAATCCAAAGGATGGTGATACTAACAAATCATAATATCTACCCAATTAATCAACCTTATAGGCCAAAAACTTGGATCTAATTTTATTAATTCCTAATAACTATCCACCATCAAACAACCTCACCTACAAGGTGAGGTCGACAAACCCACAATCAGCTCATTTTGCCTATAGGACGACGATGTAAGATTAATCATCATGTTGCCTTGCTTATTGGGTGAGATCGTAAAATCTACTATTGAGCTGATACCAAAAGCTAAGTCACAACTCTCCAAGGCAAGCATACCAAAGCCAACGTTGTAAACCATCACTCAGTTCACAAATAGAATAGTCAGCTCTAAGCATCAAGTCAAGCTAATTCTAAGTTAATGGCAAACATCAAGAAATCTCTGCTTTAGGGTAAAGCCATAAAACTCATTTTTGGCATTTTCTCGTCCTCAAAGATGTATTACTTGTTTATAGGCCTTCAAATAGAAATGTGCTCGATCTCGATTAAATTGAGTCAGCATAACACTAATAAACCCATGAAATCAAATTATAGAAATTCAATGAATGTTAGCCTCAAACAACCTAAAGTCAGAGCAACACCCATGCTAATAAGTTCACTAATCAAAATTAAATCCACTAATTAAAATCACATAAATCAAAAGTATCATATGTCTCAGCCAATGTTTTTTTGTGCTGACACATCAAATTAAAAAAATTTAGGTAAAAGCAGTGAAATTACTATTGCTATAATAAATTCACTATAGCCAAAGTTAAATTACTATAGCTACAGTAAACTCACTGTAGCTACAATGAAATCATTTATTGATTCATTATAAAACCTTAAAGATCAGGTGTAACTTGATTACTCTGTAAATCGAGTTGCAACCTACGAGAGAAGCTCTGCGGGAGAGAGAACCTCTACGGGAGAGAGGAAGAGC